GAAATTTAATCAGTATCCAACCCTATCTACTAATTCTTGCTTAGTCCGTATTATTTTACATATTACGTAATTTCGGGTTTGTAATTACATTATTCTCTCTCTCTCTCACCCCATGTCGACTATACTTATTCTGATCAGTCATTTATCTCACAACTGTATTTAACGTATAAGCTTACTCAAGTTAACACTTCATATTAGTCATCCCCAACATTAACGATTTGATTTGATTTAACAATCACAAGTTACAATTTTAAATGACGTACTCTGCCCTATACCTGGCCAATTTTACGGGTTATTTTGTAGATACAGAATAATTAGACTAACATCTAACCCTTTGTCATTCATGATTTTAATGCGATACACATTTTTACGTAAGGGGTTAAAATGAATAATACAATATCATACAATGTTCTATGACTGACAAAAGATCAATGCTATCATAAAATAAAAGATGAATGACTAATGACCAGTGTCCGTAACACTTTAAATATCCAGCAAAAGGCAATAATGGGTTAGTTCTAAAAAATCAGGTGAACTATTCAAAAATATCATAACTCTGTCTTTCGAGTTTAGACGAACAAAACAGTGGGATTGCCAAATAATTATTTATCCTTACAACCAACACCGCTTAACGAAGTAGAAAACATGAGGAATTATTGATTCCGGAGACGATCTTCATAATATATTTACGTCTTTAAAGCTCCTCGTTTTGTTTCTCCACCCAGATATTTTGTAAATTATTTTACTGAAGTTCCTGTGTGTGGAAACCTATAGCATTAGAGTCAACCAAAACTAAAAAGAAACTTCACTATACTCATTGATTGTACTGGAGATATCGTTCGAAATTATTTGTAGCAAGATTTGTATATCCGTTCCTAATCTAAAACAATGCCTTATATCTTTTTTAACCTTTGCTCTCACTCATTTTCTTTATCTCTTATTTTCCCACTATTGTTGGCATCGTCATTATTGTCTCTGTTTATTCATTCTATTGATCTCTCCACACTGGGCTAAACTGGAATTTAGTGACCACAGCCGACATAAAATTTTTCTCCGTAGTCACTGTCAAATCCAGTACAAACGTGGGCTTATTCAATGGGATCAATCGTATTTGTATTAGGGATATTATTGAGGGAAAAAAAGCTCTTAGGTGAAACATTAATGAATGATGGTTGTTCTTTGGAGTTTATAAACCGTTGGAAAGGTAGCAATATGAGTAGACCTACGGCGTTTTAAGCACCCGAAAAACCGAGTCTGTATTGCTCTACCAATTCAGAGGCGACTCAAATAGTCACACATTGATATAAAGAATTAAATTATTTATCAGTAAGACACTGCGTGCAGCCCAACTCATCATTATTGAAATATCAGTGTCTTTGTTTCCCAAACAGCCTAAACAGCACGTAAGCGATTGTGTCACATCCCATTGCATCTATGATGTGTCAAAACACATACACGGGGGGGAGCAATCGCGATCTGCAAGTAAGGTTGGGTGAATACATACAGAAATAACTACAAAAACATGAATCCCAATAGTCAAAAAGATCACAGAATAGTTTTGTATGTATGTTTTCAAGAGCGTATACTAAGGTTTATCGAAGCCTTGGTTATACGAAAAATGAAGCCCCCTTTGTTTGTTCAAAAACATTTTATCCTTACCCTTAACCTACCCTAGTATTACCGATTTATTAACCCCTTACCTTTTGATTTGTCCAGTTGACCTTTTATTTTTCATACATAACGACTTAACAGGTAAACATGTGATCAGAGTTTTCGAAATGTATTACTCAAATTTATCAGTTTGAAGCGCATTAAATAAGGTGTTCACTTTACAAGTTTAGAATAATTATTACATAAATTAATTTAGGAAATACAAGTATATACATCCTGTTTTGATTTACACTAGATGCGCTAGGATTAGTGGTACTAACTGGTTGTCCAAACTGTAAGTAGGTGAACATGGGATCGAATCTGTTGTTCACTAAATGATAGTCGAGTGTTAAGACCACTAAGACACAAGTGTGATATCTACAAGAAGCAAAACCAATTAACTGGTAATACCTAATTGACCTCAGCACAAGTATCTGTTTAAACTTAAATGCTGTAAGTGAATTGTGAGGAAGACAAACACAATCATCCAACTCAATGAGCTAAAATATCAGATCGGCATTTATTTAGGGATACAAGTCACTAACCGAACAGTGTAAGAAATTCATAGTAATCTTTTTATTCTGAAGTAATCATTTAGAGTTAGAGCTAACAAACCATTGTGGATTCTTAAATAGTCAACGTTGTGGTCTTTTCATTCTTCGTCAAATTTTCATGAGAACTCTATTTGCCAAGCTGATAATTTGAACTTCTGCTTGTTGCATTTGATCAAATATTCATGTTAACATAAAACTCACGGTAGGGGTAAATAGACACAAGAAATACTCTTTCAACATTAAGAATTGTTTGTGCTGTATGATTGAAATTAACAATGTCAAATGGAGTGTGATAACCCCTAATTCACCTCAAAAATCTCAACTGAAGAGGAATTGTACATTAAACGTAGAACCATAATAATATGTTGTCTTAAATTAATTCTAATCAAACAACATCAATTTGATGTCCATAGTAAACGATACCAATAATATGAGTACTTCTATCAATACTGTATGTTCAAAACACTATCGAAATCTCAGCATAAGATATGCACATCAATGTGAAATTTCACTCAAGATGGAACCCGTATAAAAAACTGCATCGAGTCAGAGCAGCAAATAAAGTGAGATTCGATATAAATGAATCGAAAAACATCAAAATAAGCCAAAGTAACCTTATTCATCACAGGCAAATCTCGTTTGGGGTACCTATGAAATCCATGGAGCACTAGACAGTCAGTTCTTCCTAGTATGGGACCCATCAGCAGTGTGCACACACGATTCTGTCAGGGATCTAAACCAGCTCTCACTGTGACCTCCTGACCATTAGAACAAGTAGGTCGGCTTCCGGTATTACAATTCCAGTATCAATTAATGGGAGATTTAGTTCAATAAACTACTTGATGCCTCTAGTAACAGTTGTTTCACTCTAGAGGTATTTGAACTCAACTAGTCACGATCTCAAACTAGAGCTTTAGGAACATCTTGAAGTATGTCAGTTGTCAACTGTTTATTGTGATTTAGTCGAAGAGCTTTTGCGGAGGTTGATTTACCTTGAGACCTTAGAACCTGGGGTCCGATTCCTTGAGGGTTTGGTGGCGCGCACTGCTGAGGAGTCGCACACTAATGAAATAACTGTCCAGTGCTATATGGCAGTTAAAGGTACGCAAATTGAGATCATTTTGCGATGAATACAGCCTGCAAAATTGACCAGTTTCCTCATAACCCCTCTAAGTCAAAATTAACATTTTTGATCGGGAGAGGAGTGCTGAGTCTAAAAAGTGAATAGCATTTTTTAAGCTTCAATAAAATACAGACCAACGAATAGAACGAGGTCTCTGAAATTTTAGTTTTTGTCGTCTACACAGATACAAGAACAGAGAAAGTGAACAATTCATTATTCCCGTAAATACGGTCCCGAATCTTTAAATAAACCAATATTGACTAAAAGACTTTACACAACAGATCAATCAGTGAGTGAAGAATTAAAAACAAGACGAGAAGCCACTCGTCACAATACATTACGATGCTCGTTGACAAACAAACTCTACATAAAAAAAGTAAATTCATTGTGTTTCTGGTTTTAAATCCAACAGTGTATAACAAGAATATGGAAATGTTTTAAAAAAACTAAATTCTTTACTTATATAAAACAGATTTATATATTACCAACTAACTCTGACAAAACAGTAAGACGACCTACCATTACAAGAACTCATGTTTGTTTATACTTTGGATTGAAGTTATCCTTTGAAACACTTCAAATACTATACGTGTAAATAAAATCTAACATAAATCGGTATGTCTCATTGGATCCGAATACCTTACAACTCTTCACTGAATATAATACACTATTACTTGTTTCCATGACCGTTGTAAAAAACCTTAATTTTTCACAGTATAGATAAAATATTAGAGTGAATGTAATAGAGCAAATTTCTAACGGTAAAATTACTATCAGCTAGGATAGATAAATGAGATAATGAGGCGAATTTCGCTTCGATACATTAGTAATTATAAGCAGTTCGAGAGTGATAACCCTGTGACTTTCCAATAAGTTTCCACATAATATTGAGGTATATTATAGTATTATTCAATCTCCTTATTATAAATGCTTTTCTCTCCATCAAACAGAAATAATCTAAAGGTTCCGATTGCAAAAAACAACGTTAGGTCAAAACCAGTGTCATAACATGTTTCAAGTTTTGACTTAGTTCAGTCTCCTTTCGGTTAATACTCAAGTCTGCTACAGATTTCTTGCTTCATTCAGTACCCCTGATTACCGGTATATATCCTCTGGATTAGGCTTTTCTAGTTTTCAAATTAAAAGGATTGATCAGTACTAAGTTTAATGAGGCAGCATAATAAGTACCAAAAAATGATTAAGTAGATTATCAGTTGCATTAGTCATACACACTGAATAACATATCTTAAAATCATCCCAGGTAATATAATTGTTACCATCATGATGCCAAATATGTTATTAGTACAACCTCTAACCAGATTTAACCAAAAATGGACAAAAAAAGTATATTTGTAATAAACTAAACAGCTGATCTTAATGTGTGTGTGTGTGTGCGTGTGCCTATGTGTTCAACTTAAACTATACATAATTGACCAAATTCAAAGTTATTAGAGTTAGTAACAGAAATAATCCATTGTAATCAACTATTTTAAAAGCTTATTCCCAATAAACTAGTTTATATATTCTATGACAACACAAGTGTAAATAAAACTGAACATAATGACAGTTGATATTGTATAAATATTCAACATAAATAAATAAATATAAAGAATTTCTATGCAAATTTCTATATAAATCAATACCAAAAATTACATATTAAAATTGTCACCCACCAAATAAGTTATCTCAATTGTATAAAACTGAATCCGTCTCGATTGAAAATATGAAAATCCTTTAGCCTATTTTAAAAATAATAAGGGCAGATAGTCATAAACTATGACGGCCTAAAAAAAAATACAATCAATATTAGCATACAAGACCTGTCTGTCTAGTCTTTCATTATTTTCTCTAATAATTTTTAACGTTTAGGTCAGAGAGCGCATAGAACGCCACTGGTCTAGCGATCGAAACCGGGTGACTAAAAAGGACAGGCTAAAAGAGTGAATACAAACAGGCTTATTTCATGTAGCAAATATAAATTAAATAGATTGTCTGTCATTAGTTAACATGTTCAAGGTCAAAGTAATCATCGTGCTGTTATACGAGTGGTTTAATAGAAATAACTTTACTGCATCTATTTTAATCGATCATTTGTCCGAATAGGCTGTAGTTTGACGTAATCAAACTAGACGACGATTTATATTGTACATTTATATTTTATATTTTAAACATGGATAAAATTGCCAAGTGAATTATTCATTATATAAGCAGACATACTTATTGAAACAATCTATTTTTCAACGAATACATTTTATACAGGGGATTCGTTTCACAAATTAATTGTCAACATGATATAACTATCATAATTTACAGAAATTATGAATACAGTTAATTCACTCAGTAAATGAACATTATCTACAGAGAATTACAATGAAATTCATCTTCTTTTTCTAACTTAATGAAGAAAAGTTCCTTACATGAACATATCTTCTTAGTGTCCCCCCCGTCGGTTCAGGTCATGAAATTTCGTTGCATTATAGATTCTAAATTCACTAGTAAGTTTTGATAAACTATTTTATACTTGTGAAAATTGTCGAGGTTATCTCACCATTTTACGTATAGGTTTTGCCTTATGAATAGGCATTATTGATTAAATGTTATAAACAACGATTGTTTAATAATTTCGGTTTTCAATCAAACTGTTCAGTGAGATTATAATTTATAGATGACGTTTGAGCAACGCTGAAGTGACCTTGAGAGTGTCTGCCTAATTATTAGGGTTAAATGAGGATTATGAAGCAGTTTGAAGAATAAGGATTATGATTTACAGTTGATGGTTAAGGTTAGGAATTAGATTTAGGGTTTTCATCACGAACTGACATCAGCTATAATACCTGTTATCGTAAATCTGATTGGTTCATCCATAAATTATAGTCTCACCAAGTTGGCAGTTGTCAGTGTTTTGATAAACCAGTATTGTATATTGGTCATTCTATTTATGAAGCCTTTATCATATTGTGAAATTCATTGAACAGAATTAAATACTAAATTTTCAGAATTAAAACTCAAGGTACCAACTATCAAATTAAGCATGATAACACAATCATGAATTTGGATGAACGAAAACTACATTGAAAAGAAATAAGAACCTTAGCAGATAAATATGTGATTTCAGTCTAGTTTTCTAGGAATGTGATGTAGTTGTGTAGATATGTCAGTTAACACACATTTCATAATGGACAGTCTGACTTTAGAGGGTGAAGGGAAATGGAAAATTGTTATATTTTATATTATTTTCACTTATTACTAGTGGATATTTATATATAACATATTTCAAATTCTTTTTATTTCTACGTATTCTCGTAGAAGATAATCGATAGTACAGTTTCGCCATATAATTATGCATGGAACAACTTTGTTTCTATTAACTAAACTTTTTGATTACTAACAAGAGTATACAAATATGCCTGGTTCATTATTCGGTTCTGAGACAAATGTACCGTGAATTAAAACTGAAAAAAATAATCTAATTTGCACAGTTGTCATGATGAGTTACATTTTGACTGATCGTTTATCAAATATGATTTTCAATGGTTGAGATCATGAGTCAGTTGAAGCTAGATCATCATGGAAAACCTGGAAGCACTTGATGGCTGTTTCGTCCTGTTATGGGACTCCTCAGTAATACGCATCCATGATCCCGCCTCGCGAGATTCGAACCCAGGTTTTCCATAGTGGTCTAGCTTCAACGGACTCATGATCTCAACCATTGAAATCACTATAATATCCACAAAACCCCTTCTGATATTAATCAAATACAATTCTGCTTGTCTCATTAATTACTACTTCGATTAAATTAGCCCTATTTCTTAAGTGTTGTGTTGTTTATGTTATATTCACTGTCTAGAATCTAATCTGTGTGATGAAACAAGGTCAAAGGTCATTAGGCCCATCTACTAGGCTGTATAGAAGATTGTGTTCTTATATAAAGAAAATATTGTTATTAGAATGGGTTTTGTGGAGATTTTAGAAATTTCACAGATTGAAATCATGAGTCAGTTGAAGCTAGACCACCATTGAAAACCTGGAAGCACTGGACGGCCGTTTCGTCCTAGTATGGGACTCCTCAGCAGTGCGCATCCACGATCCCGCACCACGCGGGGCTCGAACCCAGGACCTACTGGCTTCGCGCGCGAGCACTGTGAAATTTCTAAAATCTCCACAAAACCCATTCTAATAATAATAATAATCAACTGCTCACTAGTGACTGACTTCAGGAAAAACTCCCGAAGTTCTAGTGAGAAGCCGTTACCAGTGGAGTTCAACCAGGTCTGTTGTGAGATAGTAACTCACTGAAGACAATGGTGTACGGTGGCGCAACTTCGTGGATTGGTTGAAGTTAGACATTAACACCGTTGGATGCCGGCTCAGTGGTCTAATGGTTAAGTGCTCGCGCGCGAAGCCAGTAGGTCCTGGGTTCGAGCCCCGCGTGGTGCGGGATCGTGGATGCGCACTGCTGAGGAGTCCCATACTAGGACGAAACGGCCGTCCAGTGCTTCCAGGTTTTCAATGGTGGTCTAGCTTCAACTGACTCATGATTTCAATCTGTGAAAATATTGTTCTTATATTCTGTATCTTCAAATTTATGAAGTTAATTGAAGTTTGACATTAATCATTTGTTAGAGGGAATGGTTCAGTTCCAGTCATGTGTTAGGTCAGGTGGCTATGCTCTTACTCCTGTGTAAACATAAGATAGATATGAGTGCCCGAACAGCTCGCCTTATCACCTGACCAAAGAACAGTTAATAAGTAATGAGAAAACAATGGAGAATATATATAGCAGTTGAAGGTCATTCGTGTTTATTAATTTAATATGGTGTTCCTCAAAATCATTGCCTCAACGCACGATGGTCGCTGGTGTAGGATTATGTTGGAAGAAAGGTAGAGGCAGACAAACCAGGACGTGACATTAGTCCATGAAGACACTGACTGTTGGACTGACCCATGTACGTCGGTGCAGACAACCTGGTTGGGATCCGTTTGATTATCGTAACCAGTATTTGTGTAATATGGCTCTGAATCATTCTTAATGGTGCAGGTACATTCACTCATTGTCTTCCCTTATATCCTAAATTTCTAAATTACCTAATACATTTCTTATCGAACTAATTCATATATTCGACTCGAATCGTTTCTTCAATCCATAGCCTTGACTATCGCCTTCAATACTGTTTTTGCCTCTATTACTCTGAGATTTGCCATGATAATGTCGTCTCGCTGTGCTAACGGGGTATTGTAAATTGAACAGAAGTACGCATATGGCAGGTTCTACGTTGCTCATGACTGACTGATTGATCTGTCGAATAACTTTGGAACAGGAAGCTGGAAAGCTAGGTGGAACACTAATGAAACATTTCAGGTCACTTGAAGTTAGAACTAAGTTGACTACTGCCTAACGGGAAATTAAGTAACACTTTAGTATCGGCTCCCAAATCCCGACTAAATTTGAGATTATTGTAACAAATCTGAAGGAAAGCAAAACAATAAAACTCAATACTACTCGTAGTAAATGTTTTAACACTCATGGTATTGATATGAAATTCCTAGTTAAGCTAACGGGAAAGTTAAGGGTTGATTAGAAATCAGATATAGTCATCATATAGTATACTAGAATGTTGATTATTTTGCTCAAAAAGAAGAAATAGTAGGAAATTCTGTTATAATAGCCGAATTGGTACCAGGTTGGTCAAAACAATTTCTAAAATCTGAAAGTACAGTCAGCTAAATATAGGTAGTTTCTAAGTATAAACTGTGTATACTCGAACCAACGAGTGGGTAGTGTTAATGATGAGTTCGAATTTTCAGAAAAGTAAATTAAGCTACCTGGTTGTGAACTTGTACTCGTCTATTTTTTAATTATGTCTATTTACTGTCTACTCATTTAGCTTCTTAATAGTGTTGGGATTGATTTTTACAATCCTTTGTTGTTTTATTAATCAATTTATTGTCACTATGCTGATGTACAGCAATTTAATTTGAACCTATGGGTACTAGTTCTCGTGTTTATTCTATCTGTCCATGTTTATTCAAGTTTGACCAGTGAGTATCAGATGAATGTAAACATATGTATAAAAGTAGCTGGTAGGTGAATGGTATACTGGAAACCATTTATAATTTTTTGAGAATTATCAACTATGAAAGTTGTGTAATCTTATTAAAAATCACTTTACTGACTCGATGGGATTTTGTTTAGAATGAGAGCGTAAAGACTGTAGATATGAATTGTTGAGATTTAACTAATTGGGATAAAACAGATATGAAGTTCTCTGTAGTTTCCAAAGAGTGTCAAATGCTGTGTAACAATTCCACTAAACTAGGGCCGAAATAACCATATTCAAGCTAGTTGCTCTTCGATTTTTTTTGGTTAAATTTAAAGTGTTTCGACAGCACACTTCGGCGGAAAAAGCTTCAAGAGAAGGAAATATGAAACACCTTTACGATACAACGAAGAAACTAGCAGGGAAATATAGTAAACCAGAGAGACCGATCAAAGACAAAGAAGACAGGCCAATCACTGAAATTCAACAACAGCGTAACAGATGGGTAGAGTACTTCGAGGAACTCCTGAATAGGCCGGCTCCAATGAATCCACCAGAAATCGAAGCAGTACACATAGATCTTCCTATAGATGTCAATCCACCAACGACGGAAGAAATCAGAATGGCCATCAGACAAATCAAGAGTGGGAAAGCAGCAGAACCCGACAACATACCAGCTGAAGCACTGAAGTCAGACATCGAAGTAACTACAAACATGCTCCACCTTCTATTCAAAAAGATTTGGGAGGAGGAACAAGTGCCGATGGACTGGAAAGAAACACACCTCATCAAGATTCCAAAGAAAGGAGGTCTGAGCAAATGTGAAAACTACAGAGGCATTACACTACTGTCAGTACCAGGGAAAGTCTTTAACAGAGTGTTGCTGAACCGGATGAAAGACGCAGTAG